TCTCTCTCTCTCTCTCTCTCTCTCTCTCTCTCTCTCTCTCTCTCTCTCCTCTCTCACTCTCTCTTTAAAAAAAAAAAGTTAAGCATCCTGTCTTTTCTTAGGGTCATCCTAAGTATTTTTCTAATTCATTCTTATATAAAGATCAAGTCAAATAGATGAACATTTGGACTTGAAATTAACCACTAAAAATCTTGAAGATTATTCCTATTTGATGTCTCACTGTCCGTTATATTTTACATATGAAGAAACTGAAACTCAATGAAATTGAAAAGCCTAACCCTCAAATCATCTAAAATTTGAATAAAGGCCTGATTTTCTTGCCARTGCCATTTCTACTAACTGTATCATTTTTTTTTCTGTTATACTCTTATAAGGACTAGTTGACACTATTGCACTTGTATTCTTACAGGGCAGTAGTGTCAACTAGCTTCTCTCTGCTCTATCAGCCACACAGTTGATCAACTTATCTATCTGAGGTGGATCCTTGAAGGTCCATTTCATCTTATTTCCTTTGTCTTTGTATTCCCAGCACCAGTACTTAGATCCATGCATGGTGCTTTGAAGTTGCTTAAAAACATGCATTGAAAGGTCTTATTACATTTTTATTTTAAAACATTTTCTGTTCCTGAACCCTACAAGATAAAATCTGACTTTTCAACTTTATCTCCAGCTACTACTCGCCTGTATATTTCAGCATTCTAGTCCCGTGTTTCAGTGTTCTAGCCATACTTAAATTGTGCTTACATGAATATGTTACATATAATCAGACTTCTGTGTCTTTCTTCATTATGCCCCTCTCCTCCTACTTCTGATGAAATTCTACTATTCATCACTCAAGAATCAGTTTAAATGCTACTTCCTTTTGAAACCTGATTTCTCCCCTCTAGAAGAATTAGTCGTTTCTTACTGTATTTCTATAGCATATGGTTTAAATATTCATTATATAACAATAAGCACATTATATTACACATAATATATATATTTCTCTTCCTTTTCATCCCCCATCCAGAATGGGAACTCCTTGAGAGCAAATATATCTTGATTTATTTTTAAATCTCCAAGGCCTAGCACAATATCTGACACATAATAAGCTCTCCACAAAAACCTATTGATTTAATGAAATGTTGAGGTCATTTCAATTGAGAAATTATGTCTCCTGTGCTTATTGGGTTGATTGCAGGGTAGGATTAGGGAATTTATATTTCTGGAACCACAGCCCAATAAAAGTGAGCAGTAAGTTTAATATATCCAAAAATTTGCACATGATCTCTATACTGATTGCCCTTATCAATAGACATAATTTAGTGGCCTATGCCAGAATTCTTAGCACAATGTCTTGTATATAGTGAACATCTTCAGATGTTCAATAAATTAATGAGTGAATGAATTAATATATATATATATATATATATATATATATATATATRACTAAAAAGATATCTACTGTACATACAAGGAAAACTGGATGGACAATCTCCAACATAAAAACATTGTTTAAAAACTTACTAAGTTTTATTTGTTTGTTTGTTTAGTTTTGTTTCTATGCTGAGGATTGAACCCAGCATGTTAGACATCTTGTATGATAGACACACAGTGTGCTCTACTTCTGAGYTGCATCCCCAACCGTCTAAGTCTTCTAGGGAAATCAGGACATACCTCCCAAGAGGAGCAAATTTATTAATATTGGTCAGGGTTTGAGGCTAAAGTCAAAGACTTAACACAGAAAATAACTGAAATGGGTTAACAGATGCTACATGTCCTATTGAAAAGGATGAGTTAGTCTGTAGYCCAACAAACTTATATTTGTTTTTGCCAAATATCCATGTGAGATCTATATAAGTTGGAGAAAACTTTCTTCTGCTTTTATTACCATATTACTGTTTTGATGATTGTAGACAATTTTTATTTCACTTCTTTCTCAGCAGTTTCTTTGGTCATTGTTTACACAAAATAACTAATCCCTTTCTAATGATAGACTTTTTATTTTGGAGTCTCTTTTTAAAAAATTTTACTCACACAAACAAAGAAAATAAAGACATTTTCAAATATATAAGACATCACTTCCCAAAGGACTTATTCATATTTTTATATAACTATAGTGACCCATCATTTTCCCATTAAAACTAAACTTCTTTTGCTGGTTAAGCTTCTTTTGCTGTGGTCATAAGGCATCCCTATGCCAATTAGTTTTTTCTCCCCTTCACCTTCTTTCTTCATTATATGTCTTTGCCAAACCTGAGACAACCTTCTTGCTAATGTTACTCTTTTTCTGGGCCTATATCACTGATTTTACCCCATTTGTGAAACCATAGCTATGGTAGGAACATCCTTCTTAAAATTCAATAGATTCTTATGAAGTTTTTCTCACTTTATTAATTCATTATAGAAATATGTATCAAGAAAGTATGTGCTAGGAACTGTGGTTGGCTCTACCATAGCAAATGTGGCAAAATTCAAGCCTTCAAGGATCACAATGTTTAGTAAGAGAAATAGACAACAGATAATTGCAATGCARTGCAGTAAGTGCTATAGTAAGAGTATGCACTCTTCATCAAGTCTTCTTTATTTTAGTGGCAGTGAAATGCTCAAACTGCCATCCTTTGTCCTATTCCAGTAATGCTTATATGCTCTACCTAGCTCCATGTATTACCCAAAGTACAATAAATGGAACTGATCCTTATCTTATTTTTGTGCTATCAGCCTTTACCTTTCTAAGACTATCATCTGAGACTGTTCATATACTACTGCTCATTGAATGTTTGGATATTATCTCTCTTCAGCCTTAAGTCTGGTAGAAATTAAGCCTTTTCATATTTTCTTGTTGCATATTCACTTAGAATATACTGACATTACTACTTTGGTTGTTACTGAATAAACAAACATGTAAAAGGTTAAGTAGTACAGTCAAAATAAGTATGATAAATCAATGGAGTAATAATGGTTTGTGAGTCTTATTTCCCAACATGAGCATTATAAAAATGTTGATGATCTTTAATARTACATTAATATACTATAAATTATGTAAAGCCCATTACTAAGCTTCAGAGTCACCAAAGTTAAAAATATTTATATATGGTCTTTAGCTTCAATGAATTCATTCTGTAAGAAGAGGCAAAATTGTAAACATATATACAATGTGAGAATTGACATATTGGAAGAGTGTGCGGCACAAAGGAAAACAACACACAGGCTAGTAAATAGTGCCTGAAAGCAAAAATGACAGAATGAAAACACATACAACAAAAGCCAAGCAGTAATCTGGGTGCAGTGGCACATACATGTAATCCCAGTGGCTGGGGAGGCTGAGGCAGGAGGATTGAGAGTTCAAAGCCAGCCTTAGCAAAAGCGAGTTGTTAAACAACTCAGTGATACCCTGTCTTTAAATAAAATACAAAATAGGGCTGGGGATGTGGCTCAGTGGTTGAGTGCCCCTGAGTTCAATCCCTGGTATCTACCACCCCATAAAAAAAGCCAAACAGTGTTTAAATTTTGAGGTTGAGTAAATACTTACATCTCTTTTTTTTAATCGCTTTTATTTTTTAAATACATGACAGCAGAATGCATCACAATTCTTATTACACATATAGGACAGAGTTTTTCATATCTCTGTATATAAAGTATGTTCACACCAATTCATGTCTTCATACATGTACTTTGGATAATGATATCCATCACATTCCATCATCGTTTACATCTCTATTCACAAAATTTTGAGTTGGATCAAGGTATTTTACTTATTCCTTAGCTATTATCGTTTAGGTAGCCTTTTATAGATAATGTAGCTTCTAATTTGGAAATACTAACAATTACCATGTTCAGTAAAGTATATGAAGAGATTTTATGAATATATAATATTAATAATGAATTGCTTTCATTATTTTTTATTTCAAACTGGGGACGAAATCTTCAAAAACTTTAACAATTATATTTTATATACACTTATGGAATTTCAAAACACATGAGGAATTAAAAAATACAAAGTCAAAGRTATTACTTAATCTAACATATAAGAAGTAAACTAATAGCTATTATGTTTTCCAACATGTTTATGTATTATGTAATTTTTACTATAAAAATATTATTTTGTAAAAGACATTTTTTCTACCCCGATAGTTTCATAGATTAGACAAACCTGTTTGTATTGACATGAACAAAAGATTCATGACATATTAAAGATATATTAAATGCACCTTGTGTGGTGGTACAGGCCTGTAATCCCAGCTGTGCAGGAGGCTGAGGCAGGAGAATCATCAAGTTCAAGGCCAACCTGGGCAATTTAGTAAGGTCTTTTCTCAAAATTAAAAAAAAAAAAATCTGGTGATATAGCTGATTGGTAGAGTACTCTGAGTTCAATCCTCACAATAACGTGTATACATACACAAAAATATAATAAATGATTCTTTCATTAATATAACTAATTTGAGTTTGTTCATAATATTTCTATTTTAATTAAAATATATGATTAGAATAATATAAATCTTCCACATAGTCTATTGAAAATTAAGTACAGAATTGAAAAAAATGAATATAATATCAAAGGAGCTTTTCCAATGTGGCTTTGTATTCTTTTATTTGGTTTGCACGATAAGACTTTCACTTAAAATTATGCTTTGGTTTTTCCAGGTCTCTAGACTCAGGACTCAACAATGCTTTATTAGGTTTATCTGTCACAGACACATACCTTGTTGAAGTGGATGGGGATACACTTTCCCTGTATGGTTCAGGAGCACTAGAATCTCTGGATCGAAATTGGAGTGTCCAAACAGCAGGAATGGTCACGACAGTCTCCTTCACATTCATAGAGTTTGATGAAATTGTCCAAGTGCTCCCCAAATTGAAGATGAAGTTTCCTAATTCTCTGGTAAACATTTCCCTTTGGTAATATCTTTGAATTATTCTTAATCATGACTTGTATGTTCAAGCCGAAGGTCTGTTTTAACTTTTATTTATGCAGGAAGGGAGAGTAAGCTTTTGTGTTGATTTTCTGGTGCTGGGATTTAAATTAGTAGTCATAAATGATCTTGTATTAGAGATTTCATCTCTGAAAATGAGCCTTTATGTAGTATGAAAGACCAACAATTTTATTCAAATTATATTTATATTTTATAAAGCATTCAATAAAATTGCATAGCCCTATTATGTATCCAGGTATTGTATCTGGCACTGATGAGACAATACTAGGTATGTATTATGTAAATTATACAGTAATTTATATTTACAATAGTCCTCTAAAAACATTGAAAACAAATTTAGTAGCATATTAAAGTTGCTTTGAGAAATTAGACTTCCCAATTATGGTGTTATTATATTATTTATTATTAAGCATTTTCAGAACCTGTAATTTTTATAATGAGTTTCCTCTTGAGTTTTTATGATTATTATTTTTTTGTCTTTGCTGATTGATTTTCCTCACTTGCCCTTTTGTACCTTACTTCCTCCTTCTTAAATAAGATAGGTAGAGGTGCAGACAGTATGTTAGAAAAGAGCCTCCGAAATCACAAAACACTTGCATTAATATTTCAGTTGTAGAGATTTGATTTTTCTATAACCAACTTAACCAGCATACACTGTATTTGGCAAGATACAAGTAATAGTGATTAAAACTAATTCTTAGAAGTTTTGTAAACCTTATAAAGTTCTGAATTKTTTCTTTCCAATTTTTCTTTTAATTTCAATATAAAATGTATAATGTAACATCTGAAAGAGTCCAAATTTTTTCATGTTTATATAACTATTAAGAATTCTAGCTTGTTAATAAATGAGGATATCCTTTGCAGAAGGAATCATCCAGAATTAAATACTGGATGAATTCCATCAATGATGTAATAGTGGGATTAAAGTTATGTAATCCAGTTGATTTAATGTAATTGAGACATATTTGCTAAGCCTGAAGCTTGTGGATTTAGTTAGGAAATGATCAGTGAAGCTTTAATGTTCAGTGAAGCTTTAATGTTAATATTTTAAGATGGTTAAACTCAGTATTCAGATTTTTTGTGTGTTTTATTATTACAGCACCTTAAATTTAAGGAAACAAATCTTATAATGCTGCAGCAATTTAATGCACTAGCCCAACTTCGTCGTATTGACCAGTTGACAATTGATCCTCAAGGAAATCCAGTTGTCAATTTTACACTATGGAAATACTATGTACTATTTAGGCTAAGCCATTTTAGTATGCAGAAAATAAATGGAACAGAGGTAAGTAAAGGACTGTGCAAACTGCAGAATAAAAATGTTCCCTTTGGGGAAAATAATGATTAAAAATAGTTAAGAATCTAGGTAATCATGATAGAACTTTTGAAAAATATATTGTTTTAATTTTTACATTTGAAATGTCAGAAATCTAAAACTCTACCCTAATATTCTAAAGCACTAGACAAAATTTTAAAATAAAATAGTAATAAGTTCATGGTGAATAGTTTCCAATTGGAAACAATACCTTTATTTTATTCATTTATTTTTATGTGGTGCTGAGGATTAAACCCAGCACCTCGCATGTGCCAGGTGAGTGCTCTACCTCTGAACTATAACACCARCCCCATAATATGCACTTTTACTGTTGTTAGTAAATACTCAGATAAAAAGTTGGTAGGAGTGACCGTTTTTGGTTGGTTTGTTTGTTTCTTATGTTTTGTTTTGTTTTGGTAGCAGAGATTGAACCCAGGGGCACTTAACCACTGAGCCACATTCCTAGCCCTCTCTCTATATATTTATATATGTGTATGTTATTTAGAGACAGGGTCTCACTGAGTTGCTTAGAGATCTTGTAAGGACTAACAGTTTTAAACAAAAAAAAAATTGTAAATCTTCAACAGGTAATGTGATCTTTGTATTTTTCAAAGTGCTTTTCACACTGCCTGGCATGCAAGAAGGAATGAGGAAGTGAAACTTAAATGTCAATTAATAAAGTAGAGGAAAGGAAGAATAAAATGGGGACAGAGGGAGAGTATAACTGTATGAATATGAGAGGAGAAAATAAAGTGTAAGCAACCATCTGGACTGCTTTGTTAATAGTTGTAACAGCTACCTGTATCATAACTATATTGGATAACTCAGACCTGAATCTGAATAGTTGGAAAATTATTAATGAAAAATTATTTTTAGATTAATTCTGCTGTCACGGGTAATCTCCTAGCTACTCAATGACCGTGTTCTCTTTAATTATTAATTTGGAAGAAAAAAGAAGCTATTCCTCTACATCTACTGAGTTTAAATAATTATTCAAAAGAACTAAGAGCCTTTTATATGTGTTGGTCATATTAGAATACCTCTCAAAATTCAGAAAACTTCCTTACTATAAAATGAACTGTAGTCAAATTTGCTGGCACAATAACTATATTTCCCTACAACTGATAGACTACAGCTAAGTCCAGCCTAGACTCCAAAAGTCTAGCATATTATTAGGAGAATAGAGATCTCTCTATTGATGTAAAAACAACCATATGAAATCTACGTCAACCATGGTAGGTCCATGACCACAGTATCAGCCATCTATAGAAGATGTCAGGCAAATCTGGAACCTTCACGTGACCTTTCTTCAGCCAGCTCTCAAGAGATTTTGTTCAGTCTTGTGTATGCTTCTGGACCCTTCAATACTTCCCCAAAGAGAAATCATGAGTCCCTGGTGGGCCCGGGTAAATAGTCCCAAAGGTTTCAGAAATTAGTCTGAACTGAAAATAGAATGGTTATTTAGTTATTGGTAGGCAATTCTCCCTCATTAATGACCAAACTGTTACCCCAATTAACCCTTCATAGGAATTTGCTCAGATATGGATAATTACTACAGGAATAAGCATTCTTATGAAGCTTTTAAATTAAAAGGGATAGTATAATTATATAAAGTAGAGAAGAATTTCTAGAACAGATATTGTAATTTCAGTAGCTTGGGAGGCTGAGGCARGAGGATCGCAAGTACAAAGCCAGTCTTAGCAATTTAGTGAGACTCGAAGCAACTTAGCAAGACTCTGTCTCAAAATAAAAAAAAAAATTAAAAAGGGGGCTGGGGATGTTAAGCTACTCAGGGTTCAATCCCTGTACCAGGAAAAAAAAATCCAATATAATTTACTCTGATTTAAATTTTTGAAAATGTCAGTTCCAGAAATATTTGATACTTTATTAAAACGTGTAATAATATAATTCTTGATATTATATAATAATATACACAGCATTTCTACTTCTCTTTGTATAAGAGAGAATGATATTACTTGAGGTAGAATTAATTATGAGCATCAAGAAGAAAAGATGGAGTAGTGGCCTACATTGGCCACTAGGTGACTATATTGGACCAAATAACTTAGTTGTCAGCTAAAGGCAGAACTTGAGGTGCCAGGTAAGAAAGTCATTCTGTACTCATTTATATGTATATGAACTATGGGTTTATTTTTCAGAAGATGCCTGTGTAGTATTACTTTAACAGCTAATGTTAGGACCAAATTCTTTAAAGATCCAAAATTTAACTATACCAGGGTTTCTCAACCTAAGTTTCATTGACATTTCAGGCTAGATAATTCTTTATTGTATGCACTATCCTATGTATTATAAAATGTTTAGAAACAGCCCTGGTCACTACACTCTGTAGCACCCCTCCACCAGTTCTGATAACCAAAAATRTCTCCAAGTAATGCCAAATGTTCCTTAGGGAGCACAATGGCCACTGAATGAGACTCATGAATTATATAGTGCAAACAAACTGACACTGTTTAAAATGCAAACAACCCTATTTTATATTAAAYAAAACCATAAAAATTAACTCAAGTCTTGCTTTCAGCTTTTAGTACTATCTTGGTTGACCCAGGAGTGAACCCTCACAGGATCTACTTGTGACATGCTATTCTTTTTCTGGAGAAAGGCTGATGTGAATTTAGAATGAATAGCAGCATCTTTGCTAATCCTGTGAGAATTCCATCTCTCAAAGAAGGAACCAAATTATCCTTATAGGAAGGAGCAAGCTATAAACAACAGCACAGCTTCCCCTTGACACATTATTAAAATAAATCTCTTCCATTGACACATGGGAATATTCCCATTAAATCATTCTAATTTAGGAAGCTATAGGATTTCTGGGGAAATTTTTCATTAAGAATTTAAGACTTCTCAGGCATAATTCTGAGGAAACACACCTTCTAATTCAGAGCTAACTTATCATCCTCCAATCAACTTCCATAAGCCCACATTTGAATATCTTCACCTTAATTAGGTTCAAGGAAGAAAGAAAAATATCAATGAAAACTCCTCTCCCTATAGTTCAGGGGAATGTGCTTTCCTGGGCTAAAAGAAAATATTTAATCTAAATATTTCTTTGGAATTGTATTGTATCCAAATAAGAAACAGTGTCATTTTGGACATCTCTCTGTTTTTTCTCTTCAGGTGACACAGAATGACATGATAATGGCTGAAAGGCTCTTTGGAATCCTAGCACATGTAGCATCTTCTGAGTTACCTCAGTACCGTATGATTTCAATTCTGGGTGATGCCAGGTAACCTTTTATTTTCACAGTTTTTATAGGTTACTGTCGTACTAGAAAGAAATTCCACACACCTCTTAACTGTTCCATTTATGCATCCTACAAACATGTATCCTAGACTTACTTTGTGGCTGGCCTCATTCAAAGTATGGGGGATATAAAGACAAATAAGACAAAGTCCTCGTTCTTGTGTGGCTTATAGTCTAACAAGTTAAAGATACACAACAACATAAAATCTTTCAATATAGAAGAGACTAACCATGTTTTGGAACAACAYTGGGAAAACAAGTAACCTTTTATCTAGTTCATAAGAAAATAACTAGGAGTTTTCAAGGTATGGCATATAGGGGAAAGAAATCTATAAAAGTACAAAGAATTGTAAATAGTTCAATGTAATTGGAGCATGGAATGATTATGCATAAGTCATAAGATATGAAGCTAGAAAAATTGACTATGATCTGAGAACCTTGCAATCTATACAAAACAAAAAAGGAAAGTTATTCTTTGTAATTAAGCACAACAATCATGTTTTTAAGTTTATATCTAGAAAGACAGAGGTTGAGAATGGAAAACAATCAGGAGGATGGCTTATAGTTTAATTGAGAGATTATGAAGAGCCAAACTGAGGAAGTGAGAATGGAGAAGAGGATTATGTGAAAAACATTTAGGTTTGCCTGACAGAACACTGACCTACAGGACATAATATGGTAGGGAGAAGAATAGTCAAGGATGATATATCAGCCACAATTCAATTACAGATAATAGAAGTCACTCTGGCTAGCATATGCAGGAAACTTGATACACAGGAATTAGATATCTACAAAATCTTTAGAAAAGTTGAGGAAGCAGTCTCTAGATTGGGCCTCCAGATTGTTCCCAGAATGATACCATAGAAGCAGCCCACCAAGAAAGCTGCCACCTTGCTGTAATCATGGATAATAGGAGATTGTTGTTACAGCTGAGTCCCACTATCACACCATTTTCATTCACTGTATTGGGGATTGGAAAGTTGCTTGCCCCTTCCCCAAAATCTGGCTCCAGAGCTATGTTGCCCCGCTATAATTCACATCAACAAAATGAATACCTTGTATGTTACCCCAGCTTCTCCACTTAGCCCAGTTCTGAATTTAAATCTAACTTAAGTGTATCTGATTGATCTGTTTATTCCATCTAGAACCCCATAGAACCATTCTGTGTGTGTGGGGGGGGAACTAAGGGACTTACTGAATTTAAGAAATGATGATATAGTAAGAAATCAGTAAAAATTTGTATAATTTTTACTGATTTCTTTCTACATCATTTTAAAATACTACACTACAGTGCATGGTATTTTAAAAATTTAATAACTTGAAAATAAAAATCCCCCCAAATCCTGAGTTTCTTTCCTACAGGAGAGATAATAAATACTAATTAACAACAAAAACTAATGGAGGGGAGGCTTTCAAGATGGCGGAATAGAGAAAGAATGTCCCTTTCCTGGTTGCTCCATGGCAAGAAACCAAGAAATCAGGCAACTTCTCAGTAAAGTTCATGAACAAGAAAGGCTAGGGTGGGATTGGGCAGGGGGAATGGGATTCATTACTGGACACTCAAAGCAGATCAGAAACTCAAGATGTTGAATATAATAAAATAAGGAAGAAATCCTCAGTGCCTCAGCCTCTGCTACTGGTAAGCCAAAGCAGTCCCTMCACAAGCAAAGTGGAGGGATAAGGGAATTAAAGGAACCTGAAATTTTAGGAAGACTGAGGCATGTCTGAGTACAAAGAGTTTAGAGATCAAGGACACTGACCAACTAAACTGAAGGGCACTCTGCATAATGTCCTTGTAAGGGAAAGAAACTGCATGTCTCCCGGCTGTGTGTGGAAAACAGAGGAAGGAACCATTTCGCAGCTGAGTAGTGCCAAGATCTGGAGTAGCCAATTCCTTGCAAACCCACAATTCACGACATAAGTTGAGCCTAAGTGACCAGGAGAAAATCAAAAGGTGGAGAGAAGTTTACCCAGGGGACAACGAGTCATGGAAACCCACCCAACTCTCCCTTCCCCTCCAAACCAGCTGCTTGCAGGACTGGCTGGAAGAGATGCAACTGGACAGGGTTTCGAAAAGGTAGGAGGGGGACAGATTGAGGTTGGAGACTAAACCCTAGACCAGGAAATGTGGAGTCCGCAGGTGACAGAGTAGACTAAGAATTGTTTCCTCTATCACATGAATGGAACCCAGAGGAGATCCCTGGGGTGCAGTCTTCCAGCATGGACTGGCAACTGCTGGGCCCTGGAGGTACACTGATTTAAAATGTCCAGACCAATTGACACTCATGGAAGAAAGTGCCTGGAGCCTGCTTAAGCCTAAACCCCACATCTAGGAGTTCCACCGACAGGATTAATTTTCTCATTTTAGCAACCCCATCCTGAGGTTGGAGCAAGCATCATACCCCAGGTGACTCCACCTAACACTGCTGAAAAAGGAAAGCTAGGAATCTWTTGAACTCCAAAAGAAACAATTCTTTAACTTTTTGTAGAGATTTTTTTTTCATTTTCATTCTTTCTTTCTTTTTCTTTTCTCACTCTCTTTTTTTTTATTTGTTTATTTAATTGTGCCCTTATTGGTTCATGGACATTTATACATATTCATATTTTTWAATTTCTAGCATTTTTAAAGCCAGTTATTTTTCATGGGTCAGTTTTTTGAGGACTAAGATGTTTGATTAGTCTATTTCAGTTTTGTTTTGTATTCTTTTATTTTTAAAATTTTTACTTTATACTTTTGCTCTCTCATATCTGTTTCCCTTGATTCTCTCTTTTCTTCTACTAACAACTAATCTCTATTTTTCTCTCTTCACTCTTTCTTTAATTTTTTACTTCTATTTTCTGCCCTCTTCCCTCACAATTATAACATCTATCACTTCTCTTCTTTCCCTATCCACCATTCAAAATTGTAAGCCCTTTTGCAGACTTTTTTTTGTAGTCAATAACAGATCATATCCTTTTTGTTTGTTATAACACTGTAGATGTCATAGCAGGAACTGTTTAGTTTAATGCTATATATTGTTTGCATTTGTGGTGGTTTATTTGTCTCTCCCTAAAAGGTGAGGAAATGGAAACCTTCAAGGACACTATAAGTCTACAGGATAGAAACTCTACTGCCTCCGATCCATACTGTTACATGGGTAGGCACACAAATGTGAAAAAAGCAAGGGAACAAATCACCCCAAACAAACCAAGATACTTCAATAACAGAATCCATTGATACCACAGTGGAAGAAATATCAGATAAAGAGTTTAGAATATACATAGTTAAGGCAATCTTTGAGGCAAAGGTGATGTAAGGAGTAAAATCAGAAAGAAAATACAGGAAGTGAATGATCACTTCAATAAAGAAATACAGATTCTTAAAAAAAAAATCAAGCAGAAATCCTCAAAATGAAGGAATCAATAAACCAAATTGAAAATTCAATGGAGGGCTGGGATTGTGGCTCAGCAATAGAGCACTCACCTAGCACGTGTGAGGCCCTGGGTTCGATCCTCAGCACCACATAAAAATAAATAAACAAAATAAAGGTATTGTGTACAACTAAAAAAGAAATAAATAAAAATTCAATGTAAAGCACCAACAGACTAGACCACTTGGAAGACAGAGTTTCAGGCAATGAAAAAAATAAATAGGATCTTGAAAATAGTGTTGACTATGGAGAAAATATGTTTAAGAAATCATGAACAGAACTTCTAAAAAATATGGGGTAACCTGAAATGACCAAATTTAAGATTTATTGAAATAGATGAAGGTTTAGAGATACAAATGAAAGGAATGAATCATTTTTTCAATGAAATAATATCTCAAACCTAAAGAATAATATGGAAAATCAGATACAGGAGGCTTATAGGACCCCAAAGGTTCAAAATTATAACAAACCCACACCAAGGCACATTGTTATATAAATAAGGATAGAATTTTAAAGGCTACCAGACAAAAATGAAAGGTCACATTTAGGAGGACACCAATCCAGATCTCAAAAGATTTTTCAACCCAGACACTAAAACTTCAGAGGTCTTGGGATACTGTATACCAAACTCTGAAAGAAAATGCATACCAACCAAGAATACTATGCCCAGCAAGATTAAACCTCAGAATTGATGATGAAATAAAAATTTTTCATGATAAACAAAAGTTTTTTTTAAGAGAGAGTGAGAGAGGAGAGAGAGAGGGAGAATTTTTAATATTTATTTTTTAGTTCTCGGCGGACACAACATCTTTGTTGGTATGTGGTGCTGAGGATCGAACCCAGGCCGCACGCATGCCAGGCGAGCGCACTACCGCTTGAGCCATATCCCCAGCCYRATAAACAAAAGTTAAAAAAAGAATTTACAACTAGAATGCCTGCACTATAAAACATTTGCAAGAAAATATTTTATAAAGGAGAAATGAAAAATAAATGTGAAAACTGGTAAAAGGAGGAAGTACAGAAGAAAATCAAAGGAGGAACTAATTCAAATTAAAAACTAGAATAAATCAAAATGACAGGGAATGAAAATAATCTCTCAATAATAACATTGAATGTAAATGGCCTAAACTCATGAATGAAAAGACACAGACTGGCAGATTGGATTAAAAAACCAGACCCAATAATATGCCATCTCCAAGAGAYTCACCTCATAGGCAAAGACATCTACAGACTAAAAGTGTAAGGATGGGAAAAAATCATATATCATTCACATGGATCTCATAAACAAGCAGGGGTCTCTATTCTCTATCAGATAAAGTGGACCTCAAGTCAAAGTTAATCAAAAGGGACAAAAAAGGACATATCATACTGCTTAAGGAAATTATACATCAACAAGACATAAAATAAATATTTAAGCCCCAAATAATGGAGCATCTCTGTACATCAAACAAACCCTTCTCAACTTCAGGAATCAAAGAGACCACAACGTAATAATGCTGGGTGACTTTTACATACCTCTCTCATCACTGGATAGATTCACCAAACAAAAAGTAAATAAAGAAGCTGTAGAACTAAAAAATGCAATTAATGATTTAGACTTAACAGACATATAAAGAATATTTTATCCACTATGACTGAATATACTTTCTTCTCAGTAGCACAAAGATCCTTCTCTAAAATAGACCATATCTTAGGCCATGAAGCAACTCTTAGCATATACAAAATATAGTGATAATACCTTGCATTCTATCAGATCATAATGGAATAAAATTAGAAATCAATAATAAAATAAAAAATAGATGCTACTCTAATACCTGGAGACTAAATAATATGCTACTGAATGACCAATGGATAGCAGAAGAAATCAGGGATGAAATAAAAAAATACTTAGAGGTAAATGAGAATAGCAGTATAACATATCCAAAACACTATGAAGGCACTTCTTAAGAGGAAAATTTATTGCATTGAGCTCATTCATTAAAAAGATGGAAAGTCGCCAAATAAATAACCATCTCCAAGCCCTAGAAAAAGAGCAAATCAACACCAAAAGATTATTAAAATCAGAGCTGAAATCAATGAAATTGAAACAAAATATCCAGAAAATCAATGAAAAAAAGTTGGTTCTTTGAAAAAATAATTAAAATTGATAAACCCTAGGTCAAGCTAACAAAGAGAAAAAAAGAGAAAACTCAAATTACTAAAATATGTGATAAAAAAGGAAACATCACAGTGGACACTAATGAAAAACAGATGATAATCAGAAAGTATTTTGCAAATTTATATTCTAATAAATTAGAAAATAATGAAGATATTTCAGACCGATATTCCTGATGGACATAGATGCAAAATTTCTTAGTAAAATACTGGTAAATTGATACAGAAACATATTAAACATATTAAAAAGATAGTACACTATGATCAAGTGAGGTTCATCCCAGGGACGTAAGGTTGGCTCACCATATGGAAATCAATAAACATATTTCATTAATCAATAAACTTAAAGACAAGCATCACGTGATTATCTCAATAGATGCAGAACTAGCATTTGTCAAAATACATCATCTATTCATGTTCAAAACACTAGAAAGACTAGGGATAGTAGGAATATACCTCAACTTTGTAAAAGCTATATATATGTTAAACCCAAGGCAATATCATTCTAAATGTAGAAAAGTTGAAAGTATTCTCTCCAAAAACTGGAACAAGGCAAGGATGCCCTCTTTTAMTGCTTCTATTCAACATAGTTCTTGAAACACTAGCCAGAGCAATCAGATGAAAGATTCAAGTAGACTCCATGATTAAAGCAATTCTAGAAAGAAATAAGATCATTTCAAAATAATAAGTTCAGTTTAAATTTAAATTTGTATGCATTTTTAGCATAGYCTTCTAAACTTATGACCCCAAATTGACACAATTACAAGTCTACAGTCAGAGTGAGATGTTTTTATCACCTCCAAGTAAGAGAAAAGGGACATAAAATACTTGAACAATATGACAACATATTTGACCTAACATTTAAAAAATATTATCTCCAATGTACATTCTTTTCAGTTATAAACGAAACATTTATTAAAGTTGTTCAAGTACTATCTATAAAGCAAATGTCAACAGATTGAAAGAATTGAAATCACATGGACTAATTCTTTGCTCAAAATGTGTTTAAGCTTTAACCCAGTTACAAAAAGATAACCAGAAAAATTCCTACATATTTTCAAATTAAGAAACATTTATAAATGACCTATAGGTTAAARACAATTTCATAATGGAAAACTGAAACTACTGTGAGTTGAAATATAATAAAAGTGCCACATTTCAAAACTTGTGAGGTCACTAAATTGGTGCTAAATGGAAACAGGTTAGCCATGAACTGGGTGCATTGGAAAGATTAAAGGCTGAAATTATGGAACTAAACCTGTATTTCACGAAATTAGGAAAGGAACAGCAAAATAATCATGAATAAAGTTAAAGATATAATATTCAAAACAGTTAATTATTTGAAAAGACTAAAAAAGGGTAGTATATAACGTCTGGACATTCCTTTTATAATTTAACAATCAAAATAAAATGTAAATACAAATAAAGACCTATATGCCACCCTCTTATGTTTTTTACAAAAGTGAGACAATTATACAACCAAATTTCTAATAAAAAAATTTGTGATTTATATCACAATTAACTTTTTATTCATTCACTGATTATAATATTTAATTACATAGAAAATGATTATTATTATGTAACAATAAGTGAAATAAAGCATACAAAATGGTATATATGGTATAATCTTACCTTTTCTAAAATTTATAGGAGAAGCTTCTCAGAAATATGTCAAATGTGAACAGTTATAGATTTATGTGAACTTATGCAGTATAGGCTAATGGATGACCTTTATCTCTTTATATTTTTTAAAATTTATACTTCCCCAAAATTTCTAAAATAATTGTTATACTTTTAAATAAAAAAGAAGGGATTTTTAAAGATATATCCCTCTTTTGTTCCCAATCTTCAGTTCACAGTAAAGTGTTAGTATCACTTCATTCAGAGATATGCCCTATGATGGATTGCAGCCCTCTGGAATTCAGCTTCCTATTTCATTACTTAACCACCTACTTAGGACCGTGCCTGATAKGCTGACATTTGGATATTTTTAGTTTTTTGTTTTGCTTTTTCAAAAAAAAGTTTAATCAATATTCCATTTCATTTTCTAGCTATGARTAAAACTACTGAACTACATAAATGACATTATGAAGTATTTGTRTAATTTGTAAAGGGTAACTAACATGTTTTATAGAATATAAAGACTAAAAGTTTGTTCTACTACCTCCTTATTTGGATTGTTTTGTGCTCTGATTATTTTGTGTACGTGTGTGTTGTTTTTTATTAAGGTAAAAWTTTTTTTCATTTTAGAAATACTTAAGGCATTTTTAATGGTTGTTAATTATAGAATAAAGAAAAATGTGTAGGATATGTTAATTTATAGAATGGATACCAAACTGAGTACAAATAAATAATAAACAGATTCATAAAGCAGATGTTCAGAAAAGCATAGGGCTCCCCTCTAAAGTCAACAAAAAATAGATATTTTTTAAGTCTGATAAGCAACTCTCAAAATCTCTTTTATTATTTTTCTTTTTTAACAATAAAATAGCCACTTTATTTCTATTGATTTTAAAGCATAATAATTAGTCCTTTACTTTTGTTCTAATTAGTTATACATGACAGTATAGTGCACTTTGATACATTGTACACAAATGTAGCACAACTTCTCATTGATGTGGCTGAATCACTATGATGATGTTAAGTCCTTTGGGTATAAACCAGTGAGTGGGATAACTGTGTCAAATGGTGGTTCCATTCCAAGTTTTCTGAGGTATCTCCATACTGCTTTTCATAGTGGATGCACCAATTTGCCATCCCACCAGCAATTTATGAGTATACCTTTTTTCCCACATCCTTGCCAACATTTATTGTTGYTTATATTCTTGATGATTGCCATTCTGACTGGAGTGAGATGAAATCTTAGAGTAGTTTTGATTTGCATTTCTCTTGTTCCTAGAGATGATGAACATTTTTTCATATGTTTGTTGATCAACTGTATTTCTTCTTCTGTGAAGTGTCTGTTCAGTTCCTTAGTCCATTTATTGATTGGGTTATTTGGCTTTTTTGGTGTTAAGTTTTTGAGTTCTTCATATATTCTGGAGATTTGAGCTCTATCTAAGGTGCAAATGGTAAAATCTCTTTATTATTTTTCTACAGGAAAAAGCAATTCCGGTATCTATTAGAAACCAAAGGAAAAAAACCTGGCATTGTCAGTGAAGAAAATAATGATAACAAAAGACTTGTAGGAGAAAACACAAATCGTGCTACACTCAATTATACCACAAGAGAATTTTATCATGAAAAGCTAGAGGTAAAATACCATTAATCTTTGAAATCTGGTCCCTGGATATATTCCATGTGGCTCGAGGTTTGGATGTTACGTGTTTCACCTTCCTTTACATACAAAGCTGAGGACAGTAGACACCAAGGAAATAGAAAGGAGTAGAGAGCTCTGAGATGAAGAAGAGCACGTAGTTCCATCTTTTTTTTTAGTAGAAAAGAATATTTAAAAGAAATTTATTCCCAAAAATTTAGATCAAAATTGGACTAAGGATCCTCATCTATCTGAATTAAGAAAAGAAACATAGGCTTGTGTGGGCAGTTAACCAGCCTATGCCAAACCAGAAGAGGACACAGCATAATCTCCATCTCTATTCTCTTGTCTTAGGCTCTTAATGTTTTAATTTATATATTTCATTATACACCTTGAACTTCTGTGTTCTTAATTATGTAATTTAACCTGTTGTGTTCCCAGTAGAGATACTTAGCCAGGAAAACTGGAACCAGTCTTTTAGTTCTTTATRTGTTCAGAAGTTTATTGGGGTAATACAATATTATGGCACTACAAGAGCTACAAAGAAGAAAAAAACCTACAAAGTTCCTGCCTTGATGAAGCTTACAGGAAAGCTGAAGAAACAGTCATCTAAATCACTGTAGAGTTTTAAGATTCTTCAACCGAATTTTTGTTTGTTTTTGTGGTACTGGAGATTGAACTCAGGGCCTTGCATATGTTAAACAACTGCTGTAATACTAATCTATATACCCTGCCTCTTTTATTTTATTTTAAGATAGAATCTCACTAAGTTGTTGTGGCACAGTCCTGAAATACCAGAAACTTGGGGGACTGAGACAAAAGGACTGCAAGTTCAAGGCCAGCCAGAGAAACTTAGTATGACTCTGTGTCAAAACAGCTCAGTGGTAGAGTGCCCCTGAGTTTAATCCCCAATACCACAAAAAATAAAATATCTAAAGATATAGATGTATCACTGAACAGGTGGTGCATGCCTTTAATCTCTGCAGCTTGTAAGGATGAGATAGAAGGATCACAAGTTCAAAGCCAGCGTCCACAACTTAGCAAGGTGCCAAGCAACTATCTCAAAAATAAAATGGATCTAGTCTCAAAATAAAGAAACTGCAGATGTGGCTTAGTGGTTAAGCACTCCTGGGTCCAATCCCCACTACCCCAAAAAAAAAAAAAAAAAAAACCAAAAAGATAGTTGTATTTCTATATCTCCTCACACAAGGTTTGTGTGTGTGTGTGTGTATATAAGGAAAGAGAGAGCACATGAGAGAGAGAAAGCATGCATGCTGTGTATCCTCATCAAATTTGAAAGTGAAACAGCCAGATAAGTGGTTTTCAAATGTCTTTTAAACAATTATGAACTCTTTATTGATGCCATATTGTAGCTGAAAACCCAGTATGTGGAAACTGTTGTTATAGAGGAAAAGTAGGGGACTMGGAACTTCATTTGATTAGATTTTCTATTCATTTCCCTTCACCCCTCTCCTAGTTCTGAAGTGTCTCTTTGGAATCTATGTTAGTCAGATTTTCTAAGAAAATCAACTTAAAAGGAGGAAAGATTTGTTTCAGCTTGGTTTCAGTCCATGGTGGCTTGGCTCTGTTGTTTCCGGCTTGTGGCCAGACAGAACATCATGGCAAAGAGTATATGGTAGAACAGAGCTGCTCACTGCATGGCTGCCAGGAAAAAGAGAGAGAGAGCGAAGGGGCTGGGGTCTCAGTATGCCCTTTAAGGGCATCCCCCCCGCCATGACTTAACTTCCTTCAGCTCCCTTCCCACCTCCTACAGTTTYCACTACCTCAGAGTAGTGCTATCAGCTAGGACCAGGCCTTCAATAGATGAGGTTTCTAAGGGACATTTAAGATCAAACCTTAACAGAATCCTTTAAGAATTACAGCCTAAAAATCATTTGAAAACTCAATTCTATAATATTTTTATAGCATCCTAGAAAATGTTCATATTCTCCTTTAAATAGTACAAGAAGGAGCTGGGGRTATAGCTCTATGACAGARCACTTGCCTAGCATGCTCTAACACTACAAAAAGAAAAAAAGGGAAGGTCAGTGCTTAATGAAATAGTTGACTAAAACTGAACAACTCCAACTATTAATGATCCTAATACTACCTTATGTAGTAAATAGAACAAGTCTCTTCCATGTGGAAACCCTTCAAATACTTGAAGTCAACTACCTTATCTCATTTCAGCCTTCTTGACATTTGTACTTTTCACTCATTCAAAAAATCATCTTTGAGCACCTACCATACACACTGTGTGGTATACTAGGTTATAGAAAGATACTGTCTTTGCCCTCAAGGATCTCATATTCTAATGGAGGAGATAGATAGAAGATGTTCCCTAATATTTAAAAAGGACAAAATAGAGCTATGTGATGATATATAGATACAAGGCAATTCTGGCAAATAAAATGATGTGAATAAAAGGCACAAAAGTATAAAAAAAGAGAGAAAGAGTGACAGAAATTACAAGGCAGTTAATTGTTGCAGTACATAGGTTGAGAAAGACAGTGTTAAAAGATGAAACTGGGATGTACTGGGAGAATCATGCTCAAAGAGAATGAACATAATTTGTTGGCCATTAGAGGCTTCTTGGTATTGCTAGAAGAAGAAAAGACAACCTGGCAGGAATATGAGCCTTCTTCCTAAATATGGTTCTACGAATTAAATTATAGGTGTGTGTGTGTGTGTGTGTACATAATTTAAATGTACAAATTTTTATAATAGAGATTTTTTAAAATGTCAAAGAGCTACATATAAAACAAGGACAATTCATAGAGAAACCTACCCAGTGTTTAAGGAACGGATAATTCCAGTGATTTTTAAGTAGTTTAAGAGTATTTAAAAAGAAGGAAAACTTCCATTTCTTCAAGACAAACAGCATTAAATTTATTATAAAACCTGCAAGGATTGCATAAGAAAAGTCAGATCAGATACTTAAGAATATAGTTGCAAAAATCCTTTAAAAATGTCATCAAGTAGAATGCAGCAGAACATTAAATGGCTAACAAGCTTTATAGCCACATATAGTACATTCTGGAAATGCAAGAAAGATTTAATATGAGAAAATTAATAAATCTAAAGTGAAAATCATGATTATTTCTATGTACATCAAAAATAAAGTTCACAAAATTTATTGTTCATTCTTGACTTCTTTAAYTCTGTTTAAATAGAGTCCAGAAAAATTGGATAGTAACTATCATAGTAATGGGGAAACTCTGGAAACATTAGCATTACTAGCAGGCAAAATTCTAAGTTGGCCTCATGATTTCTGCCCCCTTGTATCCACATTATCCCTGTATAATCCCCTCCCCTAAGGATGTGTAAACTCTATGACTTGCTATTAACCAATGGAATGTAGCAGAGTATCCAGGCTTTGCAGATACAGTAGGTCTGCCTTTATACTCAAGGGATAATTTTCAAGACCCCCAGTGAGTGCCTAAAAATTGGATTCTACTGTACCCTATATATGTCATGTTTTTCCTATGCAAACATATATACCTATGTAATTTATAAATTAGGCAACTAGAGATTGACAATGATAATTAAAAATAGAACAATTACAATAATATACTATAATGAAAGTTATTTGAAAGTTATGGATTGTTTCTCTGGAATTTTCCATTTAATATTTTCAGACCACRGTTGACTACAGTTAACTGAAACCACAGAAAGCAGAACCACAGATAAGAAGGAACTGAGTAGTGGAAAAAGGTRTTATCTTGAGTGAGCCTAACCTAATCTGGCAGGTCCTTTAAAGGAGTATTCAAGCTTTCCCTGAAAGATTCTCCTGTTGGACTTGAAGAGAAAAGCTGCCATGATTTGAGAGGGCCACATGGCAAGGATCTACAAGAACTTTTAGGAGGTGTGCATAACCTTGGGCCAACAGCCAGCAAGAAAATAGGTACTTCATTCCTGTCACTGCAAGGAAATAAAGCTAAATTCTGCCAGCAATTATTTCAACTTAGAAGAGGGGCTTCAGAAAGGAACACATACTGGCCAACACCTTCACTACAGCCTTGTGAATGCTTTAGCAGACCACCCAGCAAAGCTATTCCTGTACTCTTGATACATSGAAACTGAGGTGATAGATGTATGTTGCTTAAACTGCAAAGTGTGAGTTAATTTGTCACACAGAAATAGAACCCTAATACACCATTGAAGTCAATATCAAGACAAGAACATCTAATATCATCATTATTTGTTGCTACAAACAATACATTTAGGTAAAAGAAAGAAATCAGTGGTAACTTCAAAAGATGGGAACTTTCTAGTACAGTAGACAGTATTACTGAATATTTGAAAATTCCAAGAGAATTAATTGAGAAACTATAAAAAGCTGTAAGAAAATTCAGTTCCAGCTTCCGCATTACAAATAATAAGCAGAAAGAAGATATAATGGAAGAAAAGTTCTTACAGTAGCAACGCAAAAAAGTAAAATACTTCATGCTGTGGTTTAGATATGATGGAACTGTCACCCAAGGGTTCATGTGTTGAAATTTAATCTCTATTGTGAGATATTAAGATGGTCAAAACTTGATCCAACCATGGTATTTAGAGAAATGTTTAGATAAAGTCATCGTGTGGAATCCATATGACTAACTGACTGGTGGCACTGWACAATAAGAAAGACCAAAAGATAGACATATGCATTCCCTGTCTCTTGCTATGTAATTTCCTGTACTGCCTCAAGACATTGCCACCAAGAATGCCATCACCAGATGTACTCCTGAACRCTGGATTTCCTGAACTGTGAGCAATTGCTTTATAAAGTAGCCTACCTTGGATGTTTCATTATAGTAATGTAAAMTGCACTAATAAACATATAATAAACCAAATGTAAGTATGCAAGATGAATATAAGGCAAACTTTAAAGCATTAACAAAGCACACAAAATATTTATACAAATGGAAAAACCTACCATGTTTTAAATAAGAAGGCTCTCAAGCAAAATATGTCAATTTTCTTTAAGTTAATTTAAAAGTATAATATGAACC